ATTGGAGGTAATGTAAGGTTGCTGGCTGCTGTTTCCTCTATGGCAGACACTCATCCTCATCACTACTCCATAAGTTTTTTCATCCAACAGCAGCTAAATCAGCATTTAGCGCTGCTCTGAGAATTCCCTTGAAGGATAGGCTCCACCTGTTTCCAGGATCAGAAGCAGCAGGCTTCCAATAAATGCCACTTCCTAGGAGACAACAAGGAGAGAAGGCTCTTACATGTTTTGCATGTGGCTTCCCATAAGTTAGACTTCTGAACCCTAGCATGACTTGCTAAAATAAAGAATAAAATTCACCCATGAATAAAACTGATTTCAATGGCATTTAGACAGGGCAAAATATAAATATATCACTTTTATTTATCCTATTTTAATACCGATATGACAAGGGTTGTCAGACTTGATGGAACTGCAGTTGTCTGTTATACAGTAGGCTTGCACAGGCAAAGCACGGAGTAAAGCTTTGCTTCTGCTTCGCTTGGGCAAGTCTACAGCTGGTTTACTCAGGCTAAGTCAGGAACAAGCCCAGAGTGAGTTTTGAGATTCTCTGCAAACCTCTTAAAGTTTAAGAAGATATGTGACTCCATCTAAGTGAAACTTTCAGAATTACATAAATGCTCATATTTGCAACGGAGGTTTCTGGGTTTCTGTTCAGTTGCTTTTAAATGCAATGACAACATAGGTGATTCTTCTGTTAGTGCTCACTATTGGCTTCCAACTATAAGCTACACATGAGTGCCATGGCAAAAGACTTAGAATCATTGAGTTTGAAGAGACCTTGGAAGTCTTCTAGTCCAAGCAGTGCTGGCAACAATGGGTCAATATAATCAGACTGCAAAAGGACAGAATGTGGAGATGCCCTCTTAGCCGAACTGAGTGTGCTCACTAGATGGCAAAGGAACCCCTTCTGGGATTGAAAACATATGTTTGTAATCCAGCACATTCCTGGGCACACACACACACTTATGCACAGACATAGTCGGAGTACTTTATGGAAAATAACAGAAGTGCAGGCAAAAGTGAGTCATAAGGAAATAGCCTATTTTACTTTGTTCCCAAAAATACAGTATATGCCATAGCTCTAAATAGATCTGCAATATGAAAGTTGTTGATGTTGTTTCTGAAGAAGCCACACAGAGATGAAGTTGTCAGTAGCTGCCTTATCTACTCAGTCAGGCAAGTTTTTGTACTATTGGTGTTTGTTTTTGTCAGTGCTATTTTGCAGCATAACCCACTTGGGGCCCCGACCGTATGAAAAGGCATGGGGTGGCTGGATTGTCTAGAAGTATGCAGCTTTGGGATTATTGCAAAATAATGTTCAGAACAATTTTGGTCAGAGAATAATGAACCTTGTCCCATAACAAAATAGCAAGGATTGTTCTCTTTGAGCCAATTCCTATTGCTTCCAACTTTAATATGGTAGTTTTGCATGTGAACTTCACTTTTCATGGCAAACATCCATTTTATAAGGCTGATTATTAATATTCAAGTCTAAACACAGTTGAGCTTTACTGTAGAATTCTTTATTTCTATTCTAAATGAGGTTTAGTTTAAGAATTGTAAAATAAGTACGTAAGCAACACTTTCTGCTTTTAGAAAAATTACATCATGGCATGGGGTACAGTAAACGAGTGAAGGATGAATATAGCCATAGAATAATTAAATACAATACAGAATTTTTCTTGTAAGGATAAATGGGTGATTTTAAGCAAATTGTAATTCATATCTCCAAGATTAATAATAGTTTGGAACACCATTCTATTTTGAATTATATCTTCTCCACTAGAAAATGTTTTTTAAAAAATCCTGGTATTTGGGGAAATTGTATACAAAATTACACAAATTTCAGCTAGATGATTTACAAATGTATGCTGTATTTGTAAGTACATACACATAAAGTCACATACACACAGCTTATAGATCATGTATTTCTAACAAATAGAAACAAAGCTGTCCGTCGGTCCATCCACCCATCCATCCATCCTTAATACATTCAATCTACAGTACTTTGTTCTCCTAATGTACTCAAGTGACATAATTAAGTGAGCAGAAACATTCTTTTGCACACGTGTTTTTGCATGAAATATTTATTCTTCACAATAAACGACATCCTGTTCATACTTTTCGGCTATCATCAACATATCTTAAAATGTCACTATAAATTGAAACCTTCAGCAACATTGGCAACATTTTCTCAGTCAACTCTTGGGGTTTTGTGAGATTTAATTCATCATCTTTATCTAGCCCTATGCCTGAGCCCTATTCTAATCCAATTATTATGATAAATATATCTACAGTAGATGGAGCTTTAGAGTTTATCTAGATAATTTACTTTGTATCTTTTAAGTAACTGAAGAATATACTATTATATACTATTGATTTTTTTAATCAGAAATATATAAAAATCACTTGCAATTTTATTTGAAAATAATTTTAACCAAAACACCAATGAGAGCAAATATGAATAAAAAGTCATGTATATAATAAAATAACTATGATCAGGGCAATTAGAATTATAGCTTACAGCATTCTTAATTTTCAACTATTTCTACTTTTTCCATCCCTGTTCCTCACGGCCTTCAAAATTGAACATTTTATTACATTTTAAAATAGTATCGAGAGATGAAGATCTAGACCAGGGGTAGGCAACCTTGGCTCTTTTATGACTCGTGGACTTCAACTCCCAGAATTCCTGAGCCATGCTGGCTCAGGAATTCTGGGAGTTGAAGTCCACGAGTCATAAAAGAGCCAAGGTTGCCTACCCCTGATCTAGACAATCAGAAATATAATAAGAGAAGCCCTTCTCCTTTCAACAGTCCAGAGTTTTCCCTCTCTCCAGACAAAGCCAGTTTAAAATTATGGGATTTTAGCCAGTTTAAAATTATGGGATTCTTCAGCAAATCGAGGGTAGGGGGAGGCTGAACACAGTATTTTAAATATGTACAAAATATTCTACAATTTCCTTGCAAGAGTTTTACAATAGAGTTTACATTATTTCTGATTTAACTCCAAAAAGGCCCTTAATTTACAACTCTTGAAAGCAGATGCATCTTTTCCAAGGCACCTGCCAGAGGAGCTTGAGAAAAATGATGATGCATTCAGACTCTTCTGTACTTTGAAGCACCTTTTCACAAGGAAGTCTGAAGCACTTCAAAGTCCACACGAACCAACAGCTTCCATCCATGCTGCTTTTGGTTTGTGTGTGTGTGTGTGTGTGTGTGTGTGTAGAGTCTTCATGCATGCATGCTATATTGTCGCCACAAAATATTATCTTTTTTCTTCATTGTGAAGAAACACATCCATTCCCTAAATCAGGGGTTCTCAACCTTGGCAACTTTAAGACTTGTGGACTTCAACTCCCAGAATTCCTCAGCCAGCTTTGCTGGCTGAGGAATTCTGGGAATTGAAGTCCACAAGTCTTAAAGTTGCCAAGGTTGAGAACCCCTGCCTAAATGAACTCTGCTGTCTGTAAAGGAAACTTCATCTTTGCACCATTCCAATGTATTACATGCCCGAGGACATTTGTGCTATGAGATTGTTAAACAAGAATGAGGAGTGGCAATAAAAACAAAATAATGACTTTCAAACTCCATGTGTAACTTAGTTATGATAACCTTGATTGAAATGACACAACCCTATTTTATCTCAGCACAAAGCATTTATGATCTCATAAAACAATGTGCCCAGTTATCACCCGTTCTTCTTCCCTCTTGGAGCAGGCCCAGCACTTCACTTACTGAGGTTTATGGGACTTCCTGACAGTGTAACAATGTTTTTTTTTATGTAAGTGGCAGGTGAGAATCTTGAGATTTCTCACCTTCCATAAATAGAAGCACTTTTTACTAGCACAAAAACTTAATCTATTACATTACGCCTAGAGGATATACCATGCACGAAAGTAGGGAAGAACTTAATTGCATCTCTCAAAGAAGAACAAATAGAACCAAGAAATTATTATTAGATACTGTAATGGGAGTGACCTTGAGAGACGGGGAAGACCTGCAGGCAGGGGAACAGTCAGATAAGTGGCAGCTTAGTCTGCAAAAGGAATGTGGACATGGCAAACATCTCAGAAAGGATTCTCCCTAGTTTCTTGTAAAGGTATATTACATCAGTATTACATAACATGTAGAGGAGCTACATGCCATTCATGTAAATCCATGCATACAGTGGAATCATTTAGTCAAATAGGTTATTGACAAAGAGGATATGCTTTCAGTCTGCAAACAGAAGTTTGAAACAAAGGTTCAGTTCTTCAAATTCTGGGCGTGAGCGAATACAATCAGATTCCTTTTAATATGGTGATGAAAGAGGTAATGGTGGTGGTGGTGCTGATGATGGTACCTACAGTATATTGGAATAGTATGCAGGGTGAGAAAGCTTGCTTTCTGATACGCTAATTTCACAGTTGATTTGGATGTGAAGACGATCTGGCTGCGACATCTGTCACCCCATTGATCACCAGGATTGATTCAGCTGATCTGGCTGACTCCTAGGTGTCTCCTTCCTCCCTTACCATTCCATATGGTCCTTCCCGAAGCTGCACACTTGGTGGAAGAGGATGACCATCTCAGATAGAAGGAGTGTACCGATCTTCAGTCAAGAGTATAAGATAGCTACGCTCCCCTACTAGAATTTCCAAACAAGTTCATAGTCAATTTGTTGCAATGATTGGTTGGTTGATAATTAGGAGATACAGTATACTTGGTCGTGCATTTGATCATGTAAATCTATATCTACAATGTGGCCCCATTTTGAAAATCAGATCTAAAGTTTGAAATCTGTATCAATTTAACTGAGCTTAGTGGGACTTAATTTATTGATAAACACTATTACTTACATTGTTCGCACTTTGAATAATGTAAGTTATCGTGTCAGTGGCTTTGATCTCTCCACCTAACATACCAAACTTGCTCTGAATGAGAGAATATTGCACCCTATCTCTACTCCTCCTGTTTAAAATGCTTTTATGTTCATTTCTCTCTGCCCAGTCTCTTCTAATGCAATGATCCAGCAGTCACAGAATGAATTTGATAGCAGTGTGGAGAAAGCGGAAGATTGGATGAAGACCATCCAGGAGAGACTGCGGATCAATGACGATACTAAAGGGCCTCGGTCTGCCTTGGAGGCCAGACTCAGGGACACAGAGGTAAAAAGAACCATGTTTGCAGAAACAATATATTATTTTTAACTGTGATTATTGTATGAAAGCATGTTCCAGAATCTTGCTTCAATTGCCCCTCCTGACTCAGGTGCACAATGGTGACACCAAAACAATGACCCCAGTGTGTATACACATAGTGTGAAAAGAAACCAATGTCCTTCCCATGCAATTTGTCTCTAGTTTTTTTTCTATTCAAAAGTACAGATAGTCCTCAACTTATGACCACAACTGAGCCCCAATTTTTTGTTGCTGAGTGAGACATTTGTTAAGTGAATTTTGCCCATTTTACAACCTTTCTTGGCATACTTGTTAAGTAAGTCACTATAGCTGTTAAGTTAGTAGCATGGTTGTTAAGTGAATCTGGCTTCCCCATTGACTTTGTTTGTCGGAAGGTCGCAAAAGGGGATCACATGATCCCAGGACACTGCAATTTGTCATAAATAGGAGTCAGTTGCTAAGCATCCGAATTTTGATTACGTGACCATTGGGATGCTGCAATGGTCATAAGTGTGAAATATAGTCATAAATCACTGTTTCCAGTGCCATTGTAACTTCAAACGGTTACTAAATGAACTGTTGTAAGTCAAGGACTATCTTGTGCTATTTAAGTCTATGGAGGTTGCATTTAGCTGTCATAATTCATTGACAGCATGAATCTTTTAATCAGATTATTGCCATTATAGCATTCAGTGCTCTAATGTGGTCACAAAGGCCCTGCTGTGAGAACATCTAGTGTAACCCAGGACTATAAGGGTATGAGGACCATGTTCTATACCAGTGGTTCTCAATCTGTGGGTCGTGACCTTTTTGGGGGGTCGAACGACCCTTTCACAGGGGTTGCCTAAGACCATCGGAAAATACATATTTCCGATGGTCTTAGGAACCGAGACACCGCTCCTCTATCCCAGGGCTTTTCAACCAGGATACCGATTGAACATTCCAATGCCCACATGCTGGGAAGCCGATCCGGGCACCGCAGCAGAAGCCGCAAACTGTGGGGGATCCCTGCCACCGCCAGCAGAGCCGGCTACAATGGAGCGCTAGCCAGCTGCTTCAACCAGGCGCCAGCAGCCTCCTCGGGATGCCCTGCCCATCGGTGACATTGCCGCACCGTGTTCTATGATGCTAGGGAATCCCTGCCCCGCCGGAGCCGGCCACAATGGAGTGCTGGCCATCTGCTCTAACCAGGCACCGGCGAGCTGTCCTAGGGTGCACCGGAGTCCCGCACGCCGCCCGGTAGGCTGCCATCAGCTGTTCTTCCTGTGTGGCATTTCTGGCAGCTGGCTGTATGCTTTGGCAGCCAGCTGCGTGGGCCCCTTCCCTCATAGGAATGTCGAGCCCACGGGGCTTAACAGCCACAATGGTGCCGCACACTCAGTAGCCACCTCTCAAGCACCACCTCCCACCCGGCACTCATTGGCCATTATGCACTGCCTGTCGGGCGCAGCGCGGTCTCATCAGGCTGTGGTGGCACCTCAAGGCAATCGCCGGCTCCTCAGTTCAGGCCGCCCGCCCGTCAGAATCTACGTCCCGCGATTGGTTGGCTCCCTCATTGTGTCCCTCCCCCACAGAAAGGGCATGGCTCTTATGCAGGCTTGCCCCTTACGGGACTCCTGATTGGCCCTGCGCCCAGGCGCCCCACCCCCTGAGAAGTGCGGCCAGGAAGTCCCTTTCCCGGGGAACCGCGCAATCCTGGCACTACCCTAGGCCCCGCTGGCTGGGAAGGCGCACTGGAGTCCCGGCTCCCGGGAAGGCAATCGGCTTGCTCCTCTCTCATCGCCTGTTCTGCCCGGCTCAAGCCTGGCTGGAGCAGCATTGGTACTTCCAAATGTGGCCACTTCAAGGTCACATGGGACAGCCCTCGGCCACTCCCCTCCCCTCTGCACCTCCAAATCGATCCCCGATCGGAGAGAGAGAGGGAGGGAGGGAGGAAGAGAGGGAGAGAGTGATAGAGAGGGAGAGAGAGAAAAAGGGAGAGAGAAAGAGGGAGGGAGAGAGAGAGAAATAGAGAGGGAGAGAGAGAAAGGGGGAGAGAGAGAGGGAGAGAGAGAAAGAGAAAGAAAGAGGGAGAGAAAGAAAGAGGGAGGGAAAGAGAGGGACAAAGTGAGAAAGAGAAAGAAAGAGGGAGAAAGAGAGGGAGAAAGTGAAAAAGAAAGGGAGAGAGAGAGGGAGAAAGATAGGGAGAAAGAAAGAGGGAGAAAGAGAGAGGGAGAAAGAAGAAGGGAGAGAGAGGGAGAGAAAGGGAGAGAGAGAGGGAGAGAGAGAGAAAGAGGGAGAAAGATAGGGAGAAAGAAAGAGGGAGAAAGGGAGAGGGAGAAAGAGGAAGAGAGAGAGGGAGAGAGAAAGAAAGAGGGAGAGAAAGAGAGAAAGAAAGAAAGAGGAAGAGAAAGAGAGGGGGAAAGAAAGGGAGAAAGAGAGAGGGAAAAAGAGAGAGGGAGAAAGAGGATGAGGAAGAGAGAGATGGGGGAGACAGAAAGAAAGAGGGAGAGAAAGAGAGGGAGAAAGAAAGGGAGAAAGAGAGAGGGAGAAAGAGAAAGAGGAAGAGAGAGAGAGAGAAAGAGGGAGAGAAAGAGAGAGAAAGAAAGAAGGAGAGAAAGAGAGGGAGAAAGAAAGAGGGAGAAAGAGAAAGGGAGAAAGAAAAAGAGGAAGAGAGAGAGAGGGAGAGAGAAAGAAAGAGGGAGAGAAAGAGAGGGAGAAAGAAAGAGGGAGAGAAAGAGAGGGAGAAAGAAAGAGAGAGAAAGAGAGAAGGAGAAAGAGAGAAGGAGAAAGAGAAAGAGGAAGGGAGAGAGAGAGGGAGAGAAAGAGAGGGAGGGAGAGAGAAATAAAGGGAGAGAGAGAAAGAGAGGGAGTGAGAGGGAGAGAGAGAAAGGGAGAGAGAGAGGGGGAGAGAGAGAAAGAGAGAGGGAGAGAGAAAGAAAGAGGTAGAGAGAGATTAAATTAGTAACGTGGTTCTTAAGCAAAATTACAGTTATGAAATAGCAATGAAAATAATTTTATGGTTGGGGGTCACCACAACATGAGGAACTGTATTAAAGGGTCACGGCATTAGGAAGGTTGAGAACCACTGTTCTATACTTTTCTGTGATTAACTTAGATTTATTAAATATTTAATGCTAATTTGCAACTATTGCTGTAATTAAATTATTCTGGCTGTTTTTTGCTATTAAATTATTCTACCTGTTTTTTGCTATTGCCTATTAAAAACAATCTTTTTAAAAAAAAACATTCTTTCTAAGCTGGATTTTTAATAGAGTCACTTGCTTGTAAGATGAGGGGGTATATAAATATGATGAAAAATAAAATATATTCAAGCTTGTCTCTTCCCGTAGTTTTTCTCCTTGACTTTAGTCTTAAAGGTAGTGAGGAAACTTCCTGACTTAAATCCATTATCATGAATATTGACAGAGGAGATATAAGAGAGGGACAAATAATGTCATGCCTATGCTTACATCACTGTGCAAATGACATAGCTGTTTCAAAAGCCTCTTCTTACACTGAATTTTGGATAAAAATTAAGCTCACAAGTTGCACTGCACTGCAGGCATTAATGGGTGTGGATTTTTTCCACATGCATCAGGATTTGTGAATCAGCATGCAAAAACATGGCGTATCTACCGAGCCATCAATTATAAGTTGATACATTTTAGGCAATCATAAATGATGCTTATTATGTGGTGGAGTCATGCTATTCCTAAAATTATGCCCTCTGGTCATCTAGATGGGGAATTATGAGAGTAGAACTATATTCAGTACTCTTTTCACAGATATAATTGAAAGAAGGAAAGTTTTAAAATTTATTGTATTTATTAATGCCCACTAAATAAGTCAGTAGTATTTCTCCAAATGTTGCTAATTATATTTTCCTAATGTTTGTCCTTTGTGATTATCCCTGTTTGGGCTGCTAGGAATTATAATTCATTAATAGGTAAAGGGCCATATGTCCCACCTCATCTTTCAACTAAAGAGCTGTGCTCCACAGGAGCATTTATAAGAAATGTCAAAAACATCAAGATGGCAGCCATGACTATGCAGTCAGGTCCTGTGTTGTGCATGTGATCTATTTAAAAATGGACATGATTTTGATCACATGGTTGTGGCCACCATCATTTTGAACTACCTCTCTGGATGTTCTCAGTGCCCTCCAATGGGTGCTGCTCCAGAGCCATTGCAGGAATGTGGATAAACCTGTTGGGCCGAAAGATTGAATGAGATATTATTTTTATTGATGGGACCTTAATTTAATCCACTGTTCTTCATTTTTTCACCCAAGTAGCTGGCTATAGTGTTTGTTTGGTTATATAATCCCTCTTTCAAATAGCCCATAATACATAAAAAAGAATAAGATACAGTATATTGGAGATAAATAGAATTTGGCAAATGTCTCCTATATACTAACAGAAATTCATTCTTCAAGTGTGGTTTTGCCTGGATTTTCCTCCTCATCCGTACAGAAGAGGATGGTGGATCAGGGAAACATCATATATGCATATCCATTGTTCTACTATACCTTGCAATTAGCAATAGAAATGTGCAGAAAAGAATGTGGGAAAGGAGTAAGAAAGTAAAAGTCAAAAGTTTAAGGCAGGATATAAGAAAAAGAAAATCCTACCAAAATTAGTTGACAGCAACACTATTTACCATACCTCTCCAAATCTTACTACATTGTCAATCAACCCTTGAAAGGGAATTCCCAGTGTGTCAACAAAATAATAATTAAAAAAAGATCTTTAGCAGATAAAATATTCAGATAAAGGCAACGGCAGCGTTCGCCTGTCAACCACCAAAGTCCTATGGAAATCTGCTGAATGGCTATAGAATGATAATTGATTGTTGGGGTCACTGGCAGTGTTTCTCAACCTTGACAATTTTAAGGCATGTGGACTTCAACTCCCAGAATTCCACAGCCAGCAATGCTGGCTGTGGAATTCTGGGAGTTGAAGTCCACATGCCTTAAAATTGTCAAGGTTGAGAAACACTGGTAGAGGCTTGGTATTACAGAAATGCTGCAGATAAGGTTGCATCTGTTTTCAAGATCACAAAAGCAGTTCCAAAGGGGGGGGGAAGGAGGGGAAGGAAAGAAAAAACTCACTGTTTCAAGATAAATAATCTCAGCAGTATCATCTAATCTGAACAGACTCCACACACACCACACACACACTTGCTTTCTTTGACATACACACACGCATCTATCCTAGCAACAATTTGTCCCCTATCCGGTATTTTTCAGAGCAAAATGCACAAAACTGCACTATAAACGTGGAGGTCTCATTCTGCTTATAAATCCTCCTTGCTAGAGGATTAATTTGCAGTTCATTGACTTGATTAAATCGATCGATGTGACTGTCCGTTAAAACGTGCCCCTAATACCGTAGCATAATCCTAGCCCAGCTTTATTCACTGGGAAAATGACGACACATAATACAGACAGACACAATTTATATTAAATTATGTCAGTTAAAATATCCCTGCGCATAAATTATTTTAAAGCCCAGGAAGGGAAGATTGAATTAACCCTATTATAAGAAACCCTCCTTTACCCCAGGTTTCTTCCTTCCCATATACTCACTCATTGCATTTCCTTTTGTTTACTTTGAATAAAGCAATCAATATTTTATAGTCCGTAATGTTCCAGTGTTAAAAAGAGTATAGATTTAGTTTTCTTTTTTTCTTTTTAAGTATGTTTCTGCAAAAAAAAAATCCCATTAAAGAATATATTCATGTTTTCATTTTCATGTATAATTCTTCCTAATAGAAAATCTGTGCATTGGAACCTGAAGGCCGGTTGAAAATGGATCTGGTCCTAATGAAGGCTGATGCTCTACTTCAGTGTATCAGTGAGGAACAAAAGCATGAAATATTATCCAGGCTAAAGGATGTTAAAGCCATGTGGGAAGAAACAGCCATATACATTACTCATTGTCACAGGTGAGACTCCCAAGTGCCCCCAACTAGGTCTCCCACCAATGACTTTTAAGAGTTTTCTGAGCAGAAAACTCTTAAGCCAGACTGAAAATGACAAATTTGTCCACCTTTGTCACCATTTTCTGAAGATTCTGGTTGGTTTTCTAGTTTGCCCATGAAAAACGTATCTGCTCTAACTAGGTGAAGCTGGATGGGTAGCAAGTAATCATGGCAAATGAAATGTAATCCTTAGAGATTTATCCAGAGATAGTATCAAAGCATAATAAATCAGTTTGGTTCATTTCAAGTGGTTCAAATACCTGTTTTTAGACACCCAAATCGTGGGCCAAGAGTCCCTTGAAAAAGAGAAAAATACGACATAAAATGAGCATTTAAGGCCATGGCATCCTCCTGGGCTTCATTTAGCAAATGAGGATGTCTGCCCAGTTTTTTTTTTTATACCATTCTGTATGATGGAAGAAAATCAATCAATCAATTCTGATATTGCAGTGGGAATCAATATATGAGAGGAATACAAAGAACCATTGATGCATTAGCCCTACCAGTATTTATAAAATTGGGGGAAACAAGTAGCTGGTCAAGCAGGCATTTGATAATTAGGGATGTGATAATTACATACAAACACAGCAAATAAAGTGGTTTGCTCACCTGGGGGAGGATGTTTTGGGATTCCATACTGTACAAGGCACATACAAAAAGAGGAAAAGGTCAAAGAACGTGAGGCAGACATAGCAGAAGATGGAGAGAGAACATCAATGATGCACTATTACAGGGGTAGTCAACCTTGGCTCTTTTATGACTCGTGGACTTCAACTCCCAGAATTCCTGAGCCAGCTGTGCTTGAAGTCCACGAGTTGAAGTCCACGAGTCATAAAAGAGCCAAGTTGGACTACCCCTGCACTATAACAATGTCAAGTAATCATGGTTGAGGCTGCCAGAAGAACAAAAACCAGAACTTTGTATATCCGTCAACACCAAGAGGAGAAGGAGGAGGAGGAGGGGGCGGAGGAGGAATGTGATAATAAGATGTCTGGGAAGTGTATCACAGTATTATTTATTATGATTTTATGAAAATTTGAATAAATATTTGTGATTTTATAGACTATTTTGGAATATGTTATATCTTTTATTATTAACCCCAGTTTTGTAGGAATTTTAGGTAGTACATTTCCCAATACTCCTGAGATACAAAGAAATGGTCCAAGGCTCTTCTTGCAAAACATGTGATCTCTTAGTTTGCTATGAATGCCTTTAACTTTGATATGTAGAGAAATAACAAGTCATATTTTCCCAATTCCAAAGTTATAGCCCATCAGAAAGGAAAAGAAGTAGACTGTAGCAAAGGAAGAAGAGGCCCAAGAATTCTTCAAGGCTTTTTTGTACAGCATTAGATCATGGATTAATGTGATAACTAAAGCTAAGCTTGTTCAGAATCTCTTTAAAAAGTTGAAAGAACAGTAATGTACGTGTGCTGGTACTGGAAAGCAACCATGGTGGCAGCATTTACCTGGAACAGGTTGGGGGCCTTAGACAAATGCCATATTTTGATGTTGGAATTTATTGGCAAGTACCATTTATATTTTGTAGACTATCTAGTTTAGTGCCCTCTGGATACAAACGATTACCTACTACTGGTCATACTATCTGGAGATGATGTAAATTACACCTAGGACCACTCTCTTCAACGTTGGAGAAGGCAGAATTAATGTGTCTAGTTGTCTTTTTTGTTTCAACAGCCGCATTGAGTGGGTGTGGTTGCATTGGAGTGAATACTTGAAGGCCCAAGATGAATTTTACACCTGGCTTCATAATACGAAGGTGACCTTGGAACCTGACATAGAGTTGCAGCTTGGCTTAAAGGAGAAGCAGTGGCAGCTTAGCCATGCTGAGGTCCTACTGAAAGATGTTCAGAATCGGTCATCTTTGTTGGATCGGCTGTTAGAGGAAGCCCTATCTCTGTATAACCGGATAGGAGATGCAAGTGTTGATGAAGATGCCAGGGAAAAGATGAAGGAGGAATATGAAGAAATCAAGAACGAAGCAGAGGTGAGAAAAATTCAGAGTGAAGGCCAAACAAAAGAGCAAAGTAGATGTTGTAGTAGATGTCCTCTCCTCCTCTTCCCCATATTTAATTTGCCTCACAGCTATACAGATCAGCAAATTCCCTTCTGTTTCGATCAGGAATTGCAGATGTTGGCAGAGATCATATATTACCATGCTTCTCTTTGGTCCTGATGTTTGAATAAGCTGCAGTGCCCAGGTTCACACATAATTTACAAATCACAAAGATTAGATTTGCTCATTAAACTGAGCCACATAAATCGGTCAGTGGGTTGAGGACTGAGGCAGGCAAATTTGATAGGATAGACATGACCTCTTTTCTATGTGTCCTTTTCTCATGCTTATGAAGTATTTTATACCTCTTGTAAATAATGGCTTTTCCTCTCTTAGCTGAGCAGTTTTAATGCTTCCATTGAATACCAGCTAGGAGTAACATGGATTCTTCCACCCTACTAATAAAGGGTATTTTCACTGTTCTGCCTCCCTTCTTCTCAGCTTTGACAATTATACTACTGAAATATTTCCATATCTTTGTTCTACCTGTGTTCTCATGATGTCTTCCGCTATGCATAGCCCAAAATCTTGGGTGACCATTTATTATTACAATAATACTGCATAAATAATTACTGAAGACAGCCTCTCATTCTACCTTTAGTTAAAATATCAATGATATTTCAGTATTTAGATGCAGTGTAAATTAGTAGAAAACTTTTGCCCTAAGCCTTTCATTTGGAACCAGATCCAAATGAAAGGCTTAGGGCAAAGGTTTTCTACTAATTTAGAAATATTTCACAGTATAGTATTGTTGACAAAACTGAGAAGAACGGAGGCAGAACAATAAAAATACTCTTTATTTGTAGAGTGGAAGAAAATCTTTTTTTATTGACCACTTAATGAATGGGTAAGATTATTCATAGGCATGGTGAGTAGAAAATCCTATCCCAATGTTTCTCAAAGTTTAGGAACAGTCATTCTGCAGTATCTGAATACATGATGTCATACTACTCTGAATTTCATTATTGGTTTATCTCATCTGTTTATTTTCACATTTCAGACTGGAACCTACACACAGGAATAATTTATATACTGTTCAGCCTCTTGCTCATCCTTCCAAACAACTTCTGAAGCTTCCAAATCACATTGGGGTACCACATCTGTCTTGGGTTTAATTTTAAACCTTCTTCCCAATCATATAATCCCCTAAATCTTTGAGTCATAGAGGCATTTATATGAAATGTCTTTTCATATTTTATATAATGGCCATAATAAAGTTACCACAACAACTCTGGCCCAAATATGAAAGCAGATAAAGAGAAGAACTATTATAATCTGCATGTTTTGAAATGTGTGCAGTTAAGAGGAGGTAACCATGACTGAAAAGAAAATATTCATTTGCTAACAAATTTATTTGTTGCCTAATTGTTGCATTGGTTACACTTGAAGAACAGTTACAGAACTTTGCTCTTTGGTATTTCAAGGCTCTTATTGTACATTGTATTCCAAAGAAGGTTGTGTTCCTGATGCACAACGCACAAATCATTCTTTGTGATACATTAATTCAAATTTATGGTTCATAATAACCTTTTCTGTAGAGCACTCTTTAGGGTGGTTCCTGTGAAAAATGTCATAGTCCCTATTCTTCTGACCAATGATTAATTGCATTTCTAAAACACTCCATTTTCAATAATGATAATTGCTGGTGAGAGACACTAAAATATAGTTTCTTGGCTTTAAATTAACCTTGCTAACATTTTATTTGTGTACTTTATTTTTATTCTGATTTTAGAAAGGTAAGTAAATTATCCTTATAAACAAAGAAATACCCTAGAAAGAAAGGGGAGGAAGGAGAAAAATGTTTGAAACAAACCAACAGAAAAAGAGCAAATCACAAGGAGTTATTTTTTTGTTAAAATTCATTGACACATCATAGCTTTTTTTTTTTTAACCAAACAGCCCTTTCTGTCTACTTGTAACAGTTCAGTGGAGTCTCATCCCTCATAAATGAAGCAAATCTACACTAAGTTACAGTTTAGGGATACCCTAAAATATTTTTTTTCTTAATTGTAGTTGTAAAGAAAACCTTTATAGTATTGTAAATAATCATATACCCTTCTTCCTTTGGCAAATAATTCCTCTTTCTTTATGTTTTTCAACTCTGTAATGGATGGTTACTCTGCCACTTCAAGGGATACTGCATTGCATGATGGTTTGTGTATGTGTGTGCGTCTGTGTGTGTGTGAACAGTGTGGATTCAGTTGCCTTGTCTGAAAGTCAAAGATGACATAACTCCCTTTTCATTTTAGAAGGGCAAAACTTTAAACAGCCATTGCTATTTGTTTCTTTGAATTTATAGGCCACCCCAAACTCCAAAGGACTCTGTGAAATCCCTTCTCCAGGATTAGGACCCTTGTTGTGAGATGCAGAAGTTCTCAGCTGCTTTTTCGCCTGTCAGTTGCAATGAAAATGCCCCCCCCCCGCATTGGTACTGGCCTGAGGTGGGAAGGGGAGAGCTTGTGGAAGGCTCTCTCTCCAGAAACTAGTTTTGGAAAGAGCATTTTTATCTAACAAATGGCAGAACAAAAGTTTTGTTCCTCTTTTATTCCAATTGCAATCAGAGGCAATTGGGGCATTCACAGGAGAATGTCAAAAAATTCAAAATGGTGGCTCCACTCATCCGGTTGTAGCAGCCATCTTGAATTTTTTTTACACTCCCCATGAATCCCCCTATCTACAGTTGTCTTGAGCAGACAGTGGTGGCAGCCACTGGTTATAATACTATTATAAAGAGAGGAGAATAATTTAGAAAAAAATTAAATCCACCTCTGCTTGTATTCTTGTTAATATGGAGGTCTGAATGGAACTTCCATATTCCAAGGCAGTATAGCTGGAAAACAGTGGAGGAGAGTTATTGCCTTATTGTCAGTAAGTTGCCACTGTAGAAAACAGGCTGCTGGATATTTGATAGGTCCTTGATCTCGTCCTTTAGCAGAAAATCATCCAGTTGATCAGGAGTGTTAGCTAACCCCGGAACTACACTGGTTTATATATTTGCACAGATGCCCTAATGGAACTGCTTGTGCAGTTTTCTTTATATTTTCCCACAAAAAGGGGGGCAGGGGGGAGGAATTAAGAAATTTGAATAACCCACACAGGCCCCCTAGTGGAAACATGACATTGAAAAACCTGCAGAGATAATGCATATTGAACTGTGCATTTTTGCTTAATGTTTTCTGTGATATTTCCTAAAAGTATTTTTATTTTCAATATAATATTTGAAATGCTGTCATTAATGAGAAGTTGGCTTACTAAACCTTTCTTCCAGCACCGTCTTTCCTTCCTTGAAACAAAATGAAAGTCTTTAAAATATTGTATTTACTTAATTAAATGCTAATAATTACGGTTCACTTGGACCTGGGATATGTTAACTGTTTCAAATTCCTGAAAACAACCAAATGACATATGAGAAGAAGAGTTCTTTGTGCTCTGAGTTTATAAAAAAATAATCTTTCCCTTTGGGATATTTCTCTTGTTTCAGAGAAGAGTGATGTTACTTGAAAAGATAACAACAGAGCACAAGCGATATAAGACCAACGTTGACCAGTTTCAGCTATGGCTGACTCAGCTAACAGAAAGATTAAACTGCTGTCTCAATCAAGAATCAAAGCTGCCAGTAGAAAATAGAATTAAAGCATTACAGGTATTTGATTGCTGTAGTTATTTCTATGAAGATGTTGTTTTGCCAAGAAGTTGGAGTTCTGTTTTTTAAGCTTCCAGGAACCTCTGTGGAGGAACCTTTTTTAAAGAAAACCAAAATGAAATCAAGATTATTTCATTTGTGCAGTTGTAACCAACATCTTGACTTGTTTAATTTCCCTGAAACATGCCCATTATTTTCCCATAGGCAGGGACCTATAACTTACTGAAATCCTGCTCCTTGCACTATTTATTAACAGGGCATCAGTCATAAAAAACCAGTACCTCCCCCCCATGGAATGAAAAATCATTTGCAAAAAATGATTTCTAAATGTAAATTTTTCCAGAGTTACTTTTATTTTTAAAGAATTGTGCTGTTTTTTGCACACTGTTTTCAGTAGCTTTTTAAGCATTATTATTTACAGTTTTCTGAGCAGAAGTTTAAAGCTCCTGGAGCTCCAGCAAAATCCAAAGAATAATATTCATGCTGATTATTACTGGAAATGCATTGCAAAATATCTTTATATCCATATTCAAGAAGGATAAATCTTTAACATGACATATACAATCAAATTTGAACTGATTTTACATTTGTTGTATTTTTAAATTGTCAAGATTTACTGCAACCATGAAATCTAGTTTACTAAAATTTGGAAGTTTGCCCTGTTTTCAGAGGCTGAAGGTCTGTTATCATAAGACCAAAATATAGAACATTCTTGAAAATATTTCTGGAATCTTTTTTTTTTCACTGTATCTGCCTACTATCCCAATCTTGTAAGAATTTTTGGAACTAGTCAAAAGCACACTTAGAACAGAGTAAACAACATTATGAGTCATAAGTTATTAGACAAAGTGCTTTTTAAGAACAGAGTGTGGTATCAAAGCAGTTGAACCAGTCTTTGAGATACATACATTTGCTTCTTTATATGATACTTAATACAGAGTTCCTTGAACAAATGCAAAGAGAAGGAGAAAACGAAACCATACAGTATGTTAGAGACATTAATCCAGGGAGACTAGAAGTCAATATAGCTGATGGGTTCTGCAAGCTCAATACACATATATGTATTTTGTGTGCACTGCTGACAAACACATGTGTAGAGCCATGTTTGGTAATCAGTGCAGTTCATGTATTATATATATTGAGTGGGATCATTGTATATGTATGGAAAGTCTACCCAAACTATGTTTGATCCTATTTATTATGTTACCTTGGGAAAGTAGCCATTTCTGCCAGCAGGATATTGTAAGGATTCAAAAATAAAGAATTTGTGTTGCCAAGTCCTAAGTCCTGCTGAATTGCTAGCAGTCAGGGATTTTATGTGACCTCTAGGTATTTTTACCTTAAGTTGTATTTTATTTTAATGAATGGACCAAGCATTTAGAGGTGCTCCATCTTTTGAAGATGATAGTGTAATCATATCAGGAGTGCAGGCACACTGAATTGGTAAGGGGAGAAGATGCACACCATTGTTCCCCAACAGAGATGTGACATAAATCCAAGAACCACTGTTGCCTGATCCAGCCTGGGTCTGGTGGATTCATGGTTATGACATTCCTGGCATGATGGCCATTCAAAAGAATTTAGGTGCCTAGGCACAAGGCATGCTGGTCTTTTCTTGTATCCATAGGCAGTAATGCATAGTGGATTTACGCTGCCTCAGTACTAGTATTTTCTACATATGAGATTGGGAATCACTTACTTTGCAGCTCTTTTCTCCTGCAGGACATTACAAATGATGTAAGGAGTGGAGAAAAGAAATTCAAACATCTGGAAGCACAGTCTGTAGATGTGATGCAAAACACCTCTCCCCTGGGGGCAGAAAAGATGAAGGCTGAGCTTGAGGAGCTGAAAAAACTCCTGGAGAATATAAAGCTAGTGAGTGTGGAGGAAGAGGAGAAACTGCTGAAGATCCTTCAGTCTGAAAACACCTACCACACCCAGGCCAGGCTGCTAGAAGCTGATGTTCAAGAATTCCGTAAAAGGCTGCAAAGACTAGGAAACCACTTTGAAAAGGATGATGTTGTAAGAAGCGATGAAGATTTAATTTCTTTATGGAGAGAGTACATGGTTAGTATTTATTGCTCAGTAACCAACTGGGAACAAAAGCAAATGGACATATAATGAAGTTACAATGACATTAAAGCTTGCCTGTCTATGCAGATGCAATTACATGGAAATAAAGGTTGAGACATCTACATGGCAACATTTTAATGGATCCCAATGAACTTGTGCCCTTATCCAGGATGTTCCATTTCATTAGAACAGGTGTCCTTTGTTTTATTCCCACTGATGTCATCATGAGGTCTTTTTTCTTGTTTCCTAACTTTTGTATAAATGTTGGAAGAAATAAGTCCCTTTTACCTGTAGTTAATTTATGAAATAATTAAAGATACCATTGTTTGTTTCCTCTTAAACTTTCATCACAAAAAGTATAAATAAAACTTAATAATGAAGACCTTGTCACTTCCAGGTTACAAACAAATATTTCTTCCTTCCATATCCATCCCTTACCTATATGCAAGTCCATAAGTTATCAGCTTTTCAGTCCTGGTGTCAGCAAAAAAAAAAGTTATTGGAGCTTTGTAGAAATATATCTTATTTTAATTGTGGTCAAACAAACCAACTCTATATTTCTTCTTTTCACTTCTAACCATCTTGATCTTTAATTCTTTCAGATATCACCATAGGATTTAGTCCATCTATAATTTTTTCCCCCATCCCAATGATTTCTTCAAGGCTTTAGCAGACCTCTTTTGTAAATCCAGTAAAAAGTCATTATCCAGGTTATTCTTTTGGTTGATCATTTCTATTTCCACTTTGATTTTCAAAGTTTTAACTGCACTTCTTTTGTTTATCCAATAGAAAGTCCTTATTTGGGTCACTCTCTTGGCTTATCATTTGTGTTTCCACTTTAGATGCCTCTCTGTTTATAATCCACACAGTGTTTCTAGTTCTAATATTTCTGCATTCAGGCAAAATTTGTTTCACATCAATCATTCCTTCATTAATATATTCTTGGACATAGTCTATCCATAGGAGCAGACATCATTGCTGACTTTACTGACATTGTAGCTACTAATTTCTGGCCCCATTCTTGAGGTTTTCCTGGAATATTTCAAATTTTAGAAATATATGCCATTTTGTAAAGCCTCATACTAACTAAAAACCAAATGCAAGTTTACATTTTTTTTTCTGCCTGGAGCCATAAGTCATCTTAAGTGTCCAATAAAAGCAGTTGTTCTCTTTACTTTGATTAGAGAAGTCATTTTAGGCATCTCAGCAAGTTCCATCATTTTCACCAACTATTCCTCCATTGTGGGTAGTACAGAATCTTTCCATCTTTATGCAATTATCATGTACAGAAAATAAAGTTCCACAATGTTTTTTCCAATTGTTTGTCCATCAGTCCCAAAAGAAAAAAAAACTTTGATCTCAATTATGCATCAATGTTTAAAATTCTTTAAAGCAATATATTTGTTTAAATCCAGAATTTTCTAGCTTTTCTGCACATTCACCAAACATGATAAAATGTCCCTTCTTCTTGTTCATAATTCCAGCATAAATTTGAAGTGCCTTTATACATTCTGGACAATTTCTTTGGTAACATATAAAAGTGATAGAACATTTTCACAAAAAATGTAAGATTATAATATAGTGTAAATTTTAATCTTTTCAACCACATATTGTTTAATCATTTTACCCTGCTTGTTCTTCTGTTTCAAATTTCAATAAATGTTTGTATATTTTAGCAATTACATGTTCATCATTTGTACACAGTTCTATTTCAAACTCAGTCTTACAATGTTCAAAACCATAAATTATTTTCTCTACTTTAAATTTTTCTAATAATAGTAAATAAGAGAACATTGAAAATTATCTCCCTCTGCCCCCCGTTCTTTTGATTTGATTTTATGTTCCCCTTCATAGAATTCTACTATCTCAGGATAAATTACCTATTTCTGTTCACCTATTATTTCTCATCTATAAAATGCTTCTTGTGCTGAGAATCACAGAGGTGTTTTGGAGTAAAACCTGGGTTTGTACATATTCCATATTCTTTATTCTTAATCATTTAATATAATGATTGCATCTTATTGAACTTTATATTTAATTCATGACTTTTATTCCCTTGCCACACAAACTTAGATATATCCTTTTGTCATTGTTTAAATAAACATTTTTCAAAAGTGATTAGAAAGTGAGGTTAGTGAATGTCCTTCAAAAAGCTCTGTCATAGTTGTTGAGCATAATGGGAGAGTGCTCTCCTGTAGTCTCCTAATAAACATGTCTGGAGCAAATATGAGTAATCTCTTATCCTCTCCTTGTCCAGAGTGGTTTTGAAGAATTGATCTACTCTTCAGTCTTTTGCACGGTTGTTTCCACTCATTTAGACACATGCTTTGTTCACCATGCCTCCACTAGAAGTGCCAGGAGCTTCTTAGAATTGTTTTATTCAGAGTTTTCTTCAGTTGAGGTTTCAGGATGTTTTCAATATTCTGTGATTTTTATGAGGCTCTTGAGATGGGAGAGGTTGCCACTGTAGGTTTGCTTTTATTGTGAAATGTATATTTATGCTATATTGTGGCTATGTTTTTATTTTTATAAACTGTTTGGAATTTGAATTTAATTATTATGCAAGTTAAAAACAAACACTGCTATATACAGGTATATCAACATTTCTTGACAATAATTTTGTTTTTAAGGCAACAAAGGCAAACCTTACAGCAGAAGAACCAAAGGCTGAGAAACTGAAGATTCAACTGAAGGAGTTGTTCAAATTTTCACAGGACTTGCAGCCTCTTTCTGAGAGTGTGATCCATGCCATACGAGAACATCAAAGGTATTTTGCTGTAGTGAGTGGCACAATTCAGAATAAATGATGCCAGGGGATTAGCTCCAGAAGTACATTTCAATGAAAGAACTGATAGAGACAGTTTGTTTCAAAATTAAGAAATATAAATCCGAAAGGAGGCAATGGCAAATTACATCTCTTGACTTCCACTGGTCTTGACGCTCAGTTGAAACAAGATTTGTCTTTTTTCCCCCTTTCTCAAAGCTCTAGGTGCCTTTTATATATTTCCCTCACTTCTTACAATAATTAGTCTCATAATAATACTGTGGAGACAGGCTGAAAGATAATAACTGGCTCAAGTTCACTCATGGTTGAATGGGGATTTAAACCTGGATTCTTCAGTCCCAATATATGAACATACCATTGTGGAACTCTGGCTCAAATGTAGTTGGTTGCCATCCAGATAGGGATTTTTTTTCCCCACATCACAGGAAAGAGAGATTTGTAGAGGCATGTTGAAGATCTCCCAGCCCTGGTGATAGTTGCTCATTTTAACTGGCTCTCAGTTTTCAGATGGAATGTTATGAAATAACACCCATGTAATAGGTAGAATATAGGTACCAAAATATGTGTAGGAATGGAAAATAATAGGGTATTTTTCAGTGTAATCACTCCATAATAATCCTGTCAGGAAGGGAATTTGGGCAGATGAAATATAAGGAAACCTGCATCTGCTTTCAAAATGTCCATCTCATTTGGCTGTTCAAATAAATCTCTTTTTCACATCCTCCTAAAAATTAAATCTGAAACCATTATATTGCAGCTCTTTAAAGAAAAAAGAAACCCTTTAAGACTGAAAATATTCTAACTTTTTGGAAAGAGGCATATAATGTGGTTTATGCTTTCATGTCATCTAGAGACATTTGCTATCCACATTCCTAGGATGTGCTTTCTGACTATGACCTGTGAACATACAAAAATGCCTTTTATCGACTCTGGTCATCTGGTTCTGTATCCTCTACTCACCAGAATTTCAGCCTAAAATTTTCTCAGTTCTACCTGTAGAGACCAGGAATTGAATCCAACTTATCTGCATCAGAAGCTGCATTGTAGCATTATGACTTTTTCCTGAAATGGTAGCAGATCCCATCCATGATTTGATATAGACAGAATGTTGATTTATTTCAGCTTTGAGATCTGATTTTGTACCTTTTTCTTACCAGTTGCTTTTGATTAGAAAAAGCTACAGTTGTACAACTATTAGTTTCCAAAATGAAACTCTGCCCAACTAGTCAGAAATCTAGTCAGAAAACTAGAAAACTAGTTAGTATTGACAATACTGAGTCATCTTGAATAATCATCTGAAAAAAATAAAGAAATGCTATATTATATCTGCTTTTTGCACTGCTATCTTGTTATGGATGATACAAGGGGCAATGAAGAGAGAGGAAAGGGAAAGGGAGGGGAACAATCCTTCTAGTTAACTTTGCATCTTACTTTCCCTCCTGCTTTTTGGAAGTCTGGATGCGGGAGGATTCTTTGGAAGTGGAGCAAAATAATTGAATCACTGGCTCATGCTGTATAAGTCATTAACTTACTGTGTGTTGTCTTGCACTTGTCTATATATGTTCATATTATCAGAGATACTGTGATACTTTCATAGAGCCAAATGTTATGCAGGTAGCAACACTAGTGATAAGAGGGCTTTTTCTTATGTGTTTGCTGACTTTTTCCCATGCATATTTTTGTGGATCAACGTATTCACACTCACAGAAACACACACACACACACACAAATCTTTCTTCTAGCTTTAGTAAAATATTTTTGCTTACATGTTGAGTGTAGTCAGGAAATTATCTGCATAATCTTTTTTCAGATGTGGAAAAAGGGTTGTCAACAGCTGGTTAAGGCACAGACCATTTTTTGTTTGTATCTAAAAACTGGCTTTCTTGTGACAAGCATTGACTGTTTTGGCAAGCTAAAAAGGCTTTCTGCTAATGAAATTAGTTACTGCAGGAGAAACATTAATTCAGATTTAAGGAAGTAAGTCTGGGATTCTTGCCAATGAGGAAAAGTAAGAATGGAAAGCTTGAACATTTGCCACAGTAGAGATGACAGATTGTTCGTATCATCTTCCAAAGAGGCATTGCTTCATTTGTAGGAAATAGTAATCTCACTAATGATTATGAAGAGACAGAAGAAACGACGGTGAAGGCAATGATCAAAAGACTTGTGCTCTTCCAAAATTATGTTAAACATAAGCTGTCCTTACAGAATAACTACTATCACAAGAGCATGATGACATGCCAAGTGGGATAATCCCCTTTCTATTGTTTTGTTTAACTGAAAACAAAATATGTTTCCTAAGGAAAGCGTCGTGTTTGTTTTCTAAAAACCTATGTATTGGCCATTACTGCCTGCCAGGTCCCTTCAAACTGGAGAATGAAATTAGAAATAAGCTGTGCCTCAGGTTGTGAGCCAGAGACACAAGCTGGTTGGAATTTTCAGCAAGTAAAAACGGGTTTTTTTTTCCAGTCAGTGGATTGAAGGAGCCAGACACCTGCAGAGAGGATGAAATTAATTTTGTTCAGATTTAAACATAAACCAGTATTTTTTGAACTAATACACAAACAGAATTCAACATGCCGTCAGAGTTCACACAGAAATACTGTTACCAGATAAGCTCAGAGGCAAACTGTAAATAACTTCTTAAATTAAAATCACTAAATAATTTTTAAACAGTAGCCAAAACTATGCTTTTTGGAATTTAACTGTTTCATAAATACATTTTCTAAGTATTCTGCACTACACAGGTTCAGGTATGGCTAGTTCATTCTAAAGAGAGCATTTTGACAGTTTGTTAGTACTAAAATTAGCAGGAGGAAAAGCGAAAAAACACACCTGTTGATTTTGACAAATCAGAGTGAACTTTCGGCTTCATGGCTGCCCCTTTTTAAGAGTCAAATGGGGAAATAAAAAGATCTATCATCCCAATGTCATATTTTAAGTCCAATATTTTGTACATGCAAACAATATAATCTATAGAAAGGGCGTATTCTACGATAAACACACTTAACCTTGTGATTGCACTTGCTCCAGCTGCTAAGCTTTAATCTTGATCACATGCCTTATTGTGCAAACCCACCCCATTGGTGAGTGTATGATTCAATATATTTCAGCAACCCACTAAATAAGTTAGTTCAAATGCAGACAAGATGATGTTCTGTAACAGGCTAGCTAACTAGGGGATCCCAGAATGGAGAATACTGCTAAATTGGACTCCCTTGATACTTAGTGTGCATATTTTTTGTTAATTGTTATTTGTAAATAAATTAGACAATCTTTATATTATTATATGGTTTAGTTTAAAGCTAGATTTCAGTGGTGTATGTCTTGAATTATAAATACTTTAGGCCATCTCTGTAATTAAGATGATACAAAGTCACACAAATAATTATCACCAAAAGCACTATGATCTTCATTATTAAAGGAAAACCCCTCTTTTCGTTTTTTGTTTTTTCTCTTTATTGTCTCTGTTGTCTTTCTGCTCTAGGTCTGTAATAGATGGTGGCCATGTGGATTTTAAAACTGATCCTTAAGAGTATTGGGGAGTCCAAGCTGCACAGCTAGCTTCTTGTAATTCCCTGCAGCAGGTGCAAAGAAAATGCATCTGGGCATCTAAAAGCGGTTTTGTGGATTATCTGATTGGCAAAGGCAGCTGTGGAAAGAAGAAGCCAGGAGAAAATAGGAAGCAGAAACAGAGCTGCTTTGTGTTAAGAAAGCAATTTACATGGGCAGCTTTTTTGTCCCTTTCAGTCCAACTTGGAATTCACTTCTCCCTTCTGCAAAGAAAGAAATTAATCCTTCTTCATAATTCATAATAAAACTTCATAATTTTGTTCATTTATTTTTGCAGTCTGAAGGGGAAAATGCTTAAATTGAGCACAGAGATTGAAACAGAGTTGAGGCAACGCTTCCAAAACCCCCTGAGGGAGTTTCAGCTGTGGAAACCATCAGCTCAGCGACTCCTGGACACCACAGCCCATGTTTCTGATCCTGCATTGACAGATGCATTCTTGCGTCAGATTGAGGTGATGACTTTATAACATTTGGAATTTTAAAATAAATGTGTTCACAGACCAATACATAAAACAACACAATAAATCTTGTAAAAATTTCAGACTATTCTGTATTACTATGGGGAACATTTTTAGCCTATACAGCAACCATCACAATGGCAGGAGAACTTGTAAATTGTGAACATTCATATGCATCATTTTTCCTCACTCTGGTCAAATAGTGATCAGTAAGTAAATATCAGTAAATAGTTGAATACCAGGCTAATTTAACCTTCATCATAATGATCTTCAACAAGTTTAACAATTCAGCACTGCACTTTGGAATAAACAGTTGAAGAAAAAGTTAAAGACATACTAGTAATGCAAGGTCCTGGAAATCAAAACAACCCCTATTGGTATACTTTGTCTCTGTTATATCATTTATTTATTAATCTCACTAGAGACTGAATGGTGGTATGTTGGAAAGCTTCAAAAATATAGTATATCTCTAACCTGGATCTGAACATATTAGAATAGTGCATAGTGGAAAAGGTTCAACATGCATTCACCCTAAATCCCCCTTTACTGCTAAATGCTTAAAAAGTTAACTTGTTAACCTATTAACAAGCAAGCCAATTTCTCTACTTTGTCCTCCTGCCCACTTTGGATTTTCTTTTTTATTTCTCCCTAGGTTGAAATGTCAATGTCCTGGAACATCCTGGAACTCTGCAGAGCCTCACAAGCTCATCAGGAAACCAGGATTTCCTTAGGATGTGGTTGGAAAACAGTTGTAGGAGATTATTTGAAGCCTTACATACCTAAGACCATTCTCTGAAATATTACTTGCTCACATAGAAAGCTCTGAATTCTGAGTCCAAGGCTCTGTTGTCTGGTTCATCTGAAAAAAGACAAGGCTTTTTTTAATAGCAGAACTATAGTTGTAAAATGCTCTCTCCAGTTAAATCCACTGATCTTCCCCTTTTCCCATTTTACACGAGCTTTAGGAACTCTCCCCAATGCCATCTGTGTAGCTTTGTGCAGTTTTATATGCCCGTATATTTCTTTAATTTTATGTTCAGGTTGATTGCCATCAGATTGGTGCCAGCTCTTACAGACCCCATAGACTTTCTTTTTCTGCTTTTTTTTTACTTTTAAAATATTTTTTATTCATCTCCAAATTTAAAATACAGAATAAAAAGAAAAAGATGTCAACTACATGTAAAACAACCAAAGATCAGTAATAAAAATGGGTAGAACAACTCACAAACATACCATTAATATTAATAATCAACAAAATGTCCACCCTGATTGAAAGTTGAAACATGTATCTCAAATATCTGATACATTTCTCTCACCCCTTGCATAACAGGTCTACAACTATTTTCCCATCTATAGTTTCTTACTAAAAATACTATGCTACATAAAAACATGTCACCGATGTGGAAGTCTGTTGTCCATCTATCAAGTCGACCCACCATCTATTCACTTAAAAGAGAAAGTTAATAGGTAACCCCCAAAAGCAAAAGTAGTCTTCAAATCTCTTTGTTAACCATCTGTTATTATACTTTACATTCAGAAAGTCCACAAACAACTTCCAATCTCTTATAAACTTGTCTCATCCATTATCTCTAAATCAATGTGGTTAATATAGATACTACTTTCTAAATAGATTTTTTCCACTATGATCTGTTCTTAATCTCTTCTCCAGATCTTCAAATGGGATACCCCCTGTCATTGTAACTGACAGTGTAAAAAATGTAACATATCTTCCTTCCACGTTCCCAGCATGAGAGTCTTCTCCAGAGAACCTTCTCCATAGAAATAGTCTTTTCATTAATATGTTCAAAGGGGAATAATATGAGTCTGGCCTTTTGTGTTCAAGTGAAAATTCTAGGTTGATCCAGTTATTCATTTACTTGTTTCCTTGGATTTCCATAGTATTCTCCATAGCAATGTTCAAAAGCATCAGTGCTCTTTCTGACCTGCTTATTCATAATCCAACTTTCAGTTTCCATCTAGTGTTGCAGGGAATACTTTTGCTGCGCTATTCTGATATTTGTAGCTAAATATATATTATACTGCTACATTTATATGTTGTTATAAATTACATGCTGATAAACCTATTTAATAGTATTTCTGAGTTATAATTAGGTTTTTAAAAATTATTATTCTAATTATTCCTGTTTGGGGAAAATAAAAACGATTGACATAAATGCATAACAATCAAATATTTTC